GGAGAGCATTCCAGATAGTCGCATATCGTATGAAGTAGAAATTCGATCGTTGATCCTTTTTGAATTTGGAATCCTTATGTATCTTCATTATTTCTAGTGTTCCTGGGGACGTTTTGGTTTGTTATTAAATACATTTTAAGAATACCTTTGTCATCTGTTAGCTATAAAAGGAAATTTAGACCGTTTTGGCGTCTTATATTCCAGAGGGATCGGAGATCGTACTTATCGCATATTCATCTTTTCCAGCTCTTAGTCCTGACAACGATGGTAAGCCTCCTGAAAAACACGCAGGAACTGTGCGACCGCCCCCTTATAGCTGGCCAGATATACTGACAACCAGCAACTAGAGCACACCGAAATTTACCCAACGGGAAAATAATTTCAAGGTCAGGCCGATATCAAAGTTCCTCAATTGCCATGAAGGCCATATTATTCATGCCCCCGAAAACTACCAAACGGAAAACTTTAATTTTTATATTGTACATATCGTTATTTTTTGAAAATTTTGTTATCATTTTCCCTTAGAACTGAGGTTTTTTTAACTTAAAACAAACTCTCAATTCGCGCTTTTTTGGCTAACCAGACACCCAAAACAAATGAAGTCAAAGTGCAGTTGAAATTGACGAGTTTGGTTTAGGTTTTTTTCCTGAGTTCAAAGGGGACTGACAGTGCCCAAGGGCGCTACAATAAACCTATTCTATTCTATTCTATATGGACGATAAGTTGTGTATATATATGAGAAATGGAAGGGGACCTAAAATGGTACCCTGAAGTACTCCACGGGGAATATGGAACGGTTCTGAGACCACGTTTTGAATCTGTACCATTCGATATCGGTTTTGAAGATAGGATTCGAAAAAAATCAAGGAGTGGGGGCCAGTTCTACGACTTATTAGCTTATAGTGGCCCTCCTCCGAGCGCCTCTCTCAGCGTTGAGTCTCTCGCGAGTGTCTTCACGTGCACACCAAGGTTGTCTGGTATTGGCCCATTCGTCTCCCCAACTGTCCAGTCAGGTTCAAGGCCGAGTCGTACGTGTCCTACATCAAAACGCTTTGACGTATTCCCTCATACACATGGGACGCCACTCACATGTCGCCGAACGTGCGCTCGTCCGGCTGCAGAATCTCCAACCCCCCGGTTATTATGTACAGAATGTCTTATCCTCCCCACTGACTTCCGTCTTCTATTTACATTCGGGACCGTGTTTGTAGGTCGTGGTAACCAGGGTCTTTCACTCTTGGCATAGGCTACTGCGATAACCTTTATTAGTAGTCTCTCGTGGGGAACTTTGGCAAAGGTCTATTAAAGTCCGAAGTATACTGCAGTAGCCGTGCTTCAATCATCTCTACTGCAGGGAACGAATTCTAGAAAAGCGAGATGGCAGGACTGAAATGACTTTTGGGTAAAAAGACATGCTGACAGAGAGAGAGAGAGAGAGAGGGGTATGAGGTTAGTGTTAATCAAATGGTATAGTAGTTGGTTGTAAATTATTTCCCAGGATCTTATCAATTTCCCTTGGTCTGTGGGCAATACAATAGCTTTGGGTAACAGATTAGCTGCCGTTTTAAATACAGGTGCAATACTCGAGTATTTCCATATGTTTGGAAAAGTTGCACTTCATTGGAGAATAAAGAATAGCTTAGATTGGAGTTTTCGATCACAATTCAACTCAATCTTTACCCATCGAGATCGTGTCTCTGCGTACCTGGAAAAGGCGAAATTCTTTTTTTGTCATCATCTTGCTCCCATGGAGCGTATAATCCGGTCCCTCCTCTCACGTAAACCCCTAGCTTCTCGGCCAAATGCTCACCAATCCGAGCATAATACAAGTGGCCGTGGGGAGTCAGCTGGTCCTACTCCTGCGACATCTGACTCCCCCTTCCACTTACTCCTACATTCCCCTCTCACTCGGGCCACTTGACACATTCGTCTGCCCCTATGTTAGCAGCAGTCCGATTTGCCGTTTCTTATTCTCCAGATAGCCTCCCTAGGACGCATTCAAATCCGTCAGCATCAGCTAGACAGATAACCTCCCCATTTCAACGAGGTCCTGCAAGCTCTATAGTTAAGTCACCTGTGGCTTGGCGTCAGAATAGTGAGACTCCAAAACCGAATCAGATTCCGACCCAAAAGAAAAGGTGCAATTCCATTTAGGGGTACGCCGCCATCTCTTAGATCTACCAAGCCTTTACAGCCCAGCACGCCTACAAAGTCCGCAGCTCCAAGTATATCTCCAAATAATTCTCTGTCCTGCGTATCGCCTACTTACCAAAGCCCTACTATATATCCAGCAAATATTTCATACGTGAATTGCCCCAAGTCATTTATCGCCCAACCTAGTTCAGGCTTACTACCACTTAAGGCCAGTTGCTCTCAGGTAAGTCAACCTAACTCCTTTGACTTCCAACCTGGACCTGGCTTCCCACCCTTTTACTCTTATAGCTGCCTACCCTCCCCCACCAGCCTCTACCTTCCTTCTAGGCTCCCTCCTCCACAATTTAACTACCACCAAGCCTATCCCTATTCGGACTCCCCTAGCATTCCAATGCTCGAAAACTAACTCCCAAAATCATTTAGGTTTCATGGCCAGCCTTCTCTTGCTGACTCCCCGGTCGTCAATAACTCTAGACTAACAGATGTTTATTCCCCAAGCATCATTATTTCACAGCTTACATATCGGCCTCCAAATTTTTTCGTAAATTCCGTCGACAATGGCCTTGCTATCCGACACACATTCGATATCATATTACTGAATGCCAGGTCTGATATAAACAAGATGGTCCGAATCACAGTCATTGTTCTCGAAATGACGCCTGATATTATATGTATAACAGAATCTTGGACCCATACTCTAATTCCTGACACTGCCCTTCTCATAGATGACATTTACCTTCAATACCGCACGAATAGGCGTGGGGCCGGTTGTCTTCTTTATCCTAGATCCTTCCTAAAGCGCTCTGCCTAGTATTTGGATGTCTCCTCCTTCACGGGAAACTTCTGCTTTGCATCTTTTATCCTCTCGCCGCAAAGAAAGGCAATTATTGGCTGTATCTACAATCCCCCAAATTCTTCAGCTAGGGATGATTCACACTCTGTGAAATCTTTAAATTAATTTTGCAAGCTGCTTTGAATATTAAAATAATCACTAGGGCTTTTAACCTTCCCGAAATAGACTTGGTTTCCAATATCTGTCCATTTAGATTCGAGCCCTTTCAAGATATTGTCAATTTTTCTAACTGGTCTCAACTGGTGCGCTCTCCAAAAATAGATACTCACACCTTAGATCTAATCTTTACCAATGGCATTGCTCCTCTTTTTGTTGCTTTAAAAAAGAACCTTTTTGACAGTGACCGCGTATTAATTCATTGTTGCTTACCGCTTGCCTTTTCAAAAAGACTACCACGGTTCAGACTTACCTAAACAACGACTGCGTAGATAACGACTTAATACGTCATTGTATTAGATCATTGGATTGGTTTAGCTTTCTTTCCTGAAGCGGTGCAATCATTCCTCGTGACGTGGTATCTAATAATTCCAAGGACATCCTGGAGTTTGTGCCGCATAGATATCTCAAGTCTAAATCTTCAAGTTCCCCTGTTTCTTATTTTCTTCGTAACAGACTAAAAAGGTTGAGACGACAGCTCCATGACCTATTCACTGGTTCTTTATCCGTTCATCTTATAATCACTGAGATCTTTAACATGACCTCAAAGATGCGCCAGGCGCGCGACAAGCAGAGAGAATCACCTGCTCTCAGTGATCCCATCCCTGCCAAATTCGTCGTCAGCATCTTCCGTCGTCGGTCCTCCCCTAAGAGTGGTCACGAACTTCCACCACAGCTAAACGATAACTAAATTCTCCTCATCGATGATATTGACAAGGCGCAGTTGTTTATTGCTTTCTTTGCAAAACACCTCAATACTGCGTCTAAACCAGTTCCTTTCTTTTGTTCACTTTCAGATAAGACACTGACTAAAACGGGTGTCACCTCAGATCTCATTAAAAAACATATAAGTCGTTGGAGAAACTCACACTGCTCAGGAACGGACGGGATTCCAAGGTCGATTATTAAACAGGCATATGACCATTTCATATTGCTTAGTCATTAATTTTCAGTTTATATTACCAAAGGATTTTTTCCCGAAACATAGAAGACGCCAATTGTCATCCCTATCTTCAAGTCTGAATCTCGGTCCGATGTTAGTAACTATCGGGGCGTGCAAAAACCACCTGAAAGGCTTATTTTCAATCAAGGTTTCGACTTCTGTCTAGCTAATCGGCTTCTGAGCTCTAATTAGCATAGATATTTACCTGAAATTTCCAGCGAAACTTGTAACTTGGTATTTCCTGATCTAATCACTCCTCTTTGTAATGAGCAGCAGCCAGTAGTAGTTATCTACTTTGATCTTGGCAAAGCCTTTGATAAGGTGCCTCACAGACGTCTCGAGGTAAAACTGCAAACGCCCGGCATCCGGCCGCCCCTACTCGACTTAATCGGGTCCTATCTATCCAACTGATATCAGAAAGTCGTGGTCGGTAATAGTTACTCGACACCTCGCTCGATCACGAGTGGCGTAACTCGAGGCACGGTTCTGAGTCCGCTACACTTCTTTCTTTTCATCAATGATATTTCGAATGAAGTCAGGAATTCGCAAACTTTTACCTATGCCGATGACCTCAAGTTTGTTTACTCATATTATAAGGACATCGCAAACTTTCATGTTGAACAACTAATACCGATTTACTACGCTAAAGCAGATGGACTTCAACATGGCAGATGGAACTTTCATCATCCAGGTGAAGTCTCATGGTGCTGTCAAACAACCTGGTCTCATAATTTTTCAGAATAACCTACTCTTAGAATGCTTTACCATAAAGGACCTAGGTTTAATTTATACAAATAAACCTGCTTTATCACCTCATGCAGATAGAATCTCTGCCAAAGCCGTACAGATATGCGGGTTCATATCGCATAATTTTTCCTTCCGGATATGAAGCTAAGACTTTATCAAATGTTTGTTCTCCCTGTCCTCGAATACTGCTATTCTCTGTTTGGTTTAATGAACACCTGCGACCGTAATAAGGTCCATAATGTTCAAAGGGTTTTCACTTGGAAACCGTTCGACCGGTATTTCTTACACTCATACATGTCAGCTGCCAAACATCAGCATTTTGTGGGTTAGAAGACTCGAAATTGGTCTTTGCTTCATTTTCCGTATTACCTCTAGCTCCAATCTTACGCTCATCGACACTCTCACTCCGAGAGATCGGTCTTATGTCATGCACAACTTCTCCGTGGGAATTCCGCCGCCTCTTTGCACTACATCTAAGCGCCCCCTCTTTTTTTGTTTCCAAATATGCCTTCCTTTGGAATAATCGTCTGCCATAAATTAGGTCACCTCCCAAGTTATCGTTATTCAAATCGAAATTTCGCAAAAACATTACACCGGAAAATATAGAGGCACTTTTAACGGTCTCATTCAAGAACACTCAGCTTCTTCACTTTGGGATAGTCCTTCTGGGATTTAGTGGTAGATCAAGTGGAAATCCTAACTTATGTCTTTGCGACCCTCTGTTTTGAATTGGCCACTAAATCCACTATTATCACCCTTCCCCTGCGGTTCTTGACGTCATCTCCTAATTTGGGCCTCAAGCGGTCTGAAAACGCTCATGGCGGAACCCTCTGTATTCGTCGTCTACTAGTAGTTTGGTCGTACCTTCCTTGCCCACTTCTCAGCCGGGCTCGAAGCTGACTGCGAACGATCACGTCTGGGTTCCTCTCGTCTGGCCATTTTGACGCGAATAGTCTCATTCGGCGTATCAATCCAGTCCGGACGATGTCCCTTTGAATTCCTTACACAATACCAGTCCTGTCTGATCCGCATACCTACTCCCCCAAGGCTGCCACTTATTTGTCCTTCCATGAGTAACTGTTTTTTTCTTCTTAAAGTTTATCCAGCCACTTTTTTTATCCTAGAGTGGAGTTTTTTTCACTGCTCGCTTGTCATTCTTCTTAACGGACTACTAATTCGGGAACTATGAATTTCATGTTGTGCAGAATCTGCCTACCTCGTCCGAAATTCGTCCGGAAATTTATTTTTACTTGCTATGTCCACCCCGGTGGATCTTTAATAAGATTAGTTTATTTATATCGCATGCTCCAGAATGCATGGTGGGATTTTGTCCGTCACATAGAAGTCGGTATTAGATAGTTGCTTGACAACTCGCTCGTCAACTTCTTTACTAAAACATATTCAACCGAGTGTACATTCTGCGATCTCGGGGGTTAATTGATCGGTTTTTATTTGACTCTATAGTTAACTAAGAAATATCTTGAAAAGTCAATTTGGCAAACACGCGTTTTCGGTAAATCCTTGGTCAGGCCAATACAATTACATGGAGGAATGAAAATCTGCAAAAAGGCCATTTGTCTAGCAAAGAGTATGTATGACTGAGACTGGTGGGCTCGACAATACCAAGAATTTACGACCTTCCTAAAATTCACAAACAAGGGCTGCCTCTACTTCCAATCTTGGATATGAGGAATTCGCCCTATCATACCGTTGCAAAAATGACTAGTGGAAAGACTAAAGCCATTGCAAAGTTATCTATGCCCTCGAAGTTTAAAAGACTCCTTTGATTTCGTCGAAGCTATCAAAAATATTAAAGTTGGCGGACGGAGGATGTTATCATTGGATGTATCATCGCTGTTTACCAACGTACCCGTGGCAGAAACAATAAACTATCTTTGTGATGTTATTCGTGATACGAGCTACCTCATAAACATGCCTGTTAAAACGCTGAAAGAACTACCGACGCGTTGCACACCAAATGTCCAATTTCTGCGCAATGGTCAACTTTACAGGCAGGTAGGTGGTGTGGCAATGGGATCACCGCTCGGACCGTTCCTTGCAAATGTTTTTATGGGCAAAGTCGAGAAAACAAGCTTGTAAGAGAACATTTATGGCCACGTCTTCTACGGTCGGCACGTGGACGATATCTTCTGCCTGGCGGATGGTACCACCGATACCGAGGAGCTTGTTCGAAAGTTCAACAGTGCGCACCCCTCGCTAAAGTTCACTGCAGAGGCCGAGGCAGATAACGACCTTGCCTTTCTCGATGTCCTTCTGCACAGGCAAGAGGATGGGTCTATCCAGCGCAGGGTGTTCCGAAAGAAAACCTGGACGGGACAATACGTTAATTTCCACAGTTTTATTCCCCTAAACATCAAACGTAATTTGGTCCGGGGATTGGCGGCTAGAGTTAGACGCACCTGCTCACCCGAAGCTATTGAAGAAAAGTTCAACAGCTGCTGAACACACTTCGGGAAAACGGATACCCAGATAGATTTATCCTCCGAAATATTGGGGAACGCGCCGAAAGGGCCACTGTTGCGACTGTGGAAAATAAAGATGTATTCATAAGACTGCCTTTTTCAGGGGACGCAGCAAGCGAACTAGTCAGACGGCGCTTAAATACAACTATTACGAGGGCATTCCCCGCGGCGAATTTACGCGTATGCTTCACAGACTCTCCCCTCCTACGTTTGGGAGGCAAAGACAGACTACCGTTGGAGGCCACATCAATGTGCATTTATTCATTCACTTGCTCCTGTGAAACAAGATACATCGGCCGCACAACGAGCCGCCTGGTAGAGGGTGCCCGCCTGGCTAGACAGAGGTGAGACCCGGTCGATTTCGAGTTCTATTCTCGCACATTTAATCGATGCGAATCACCGAGTCGATGCCAAGGAAGCATTTCAGGTTGTCTACCGGACACCCACACGCTTCTCTAAAGGCCTACGCCAACGGATACTAGCAACGGTCGAGGCAGTAGCTATACGATTAGCGAATCCGGTGTTATGCTCTCAGAAAAGTCTGACACAAGCGCTCTCTGCCCTAGCCAACGCCAGCCCCAAGTGATGAAGCCATGCCGCCTCAAATCCCTAATTACGGTGATGGGTACTCTGTGTACTCAATCCAAGAACACCACTCAAAGACTCTCTTACCCCATTCCCCTAGCTCTGAGGACCAGCACCCGCCGACCTCGTCAAGCCGGCGGCGTTGAGATGATGGGTGTTAATGACATACTGGCCCTTGAGACATCTATAATTACTACTGGCTTTTTACATTTTCATTCCTTCATGTAATTGTATTGACCTGACGAAGAATTACTGAAAACGTGTGTTTTCCAACTTGACTTTTCAAGGGTAACATGGGAATATTTGCGGAACTTAGACAATCCTAAGAAATATCTATTTAATACATATGTTATCTGGTTGTCGTTTGTTATTTCTTGTCCTAGTTCGTCGATCACGATTTTGGGTCCTTACTTTCGGCGGGTATTCGTTTGTTTCTGACACATTTGAGCTGTTTGTTAGGTGGACTCCAGTTCCCGAACTTTGCTGCTATAGTCTTTTTGTTTCCGTGTAGTAACTAGATGGTGAATCCTTCCAATTCATCGGATTTTAGATAAATAACTTACAGAGGGCTCGTGTAGCAATTTCATTACTTTTTTTATTTTTTGCAGAGAAGTTTGGAACTAGTGATTTCTTGAACCGGGATCTTTCGTCTTTTAAGGTGTCCCGAATTATGAGTAGGGCAGAATAGAAGCGGTTACCTGCTTCCATAGTGGACGTTATTATGTGATATGGGCTCCAGTCTTATTACCTAATATGGTTATTCATGAAGTCGTTGCCAAGTGTTTTTGGATTTATCCGAGTGTTACAAAAATCAGGTAATAGTCTTGCACTAAGAGGGAGCATTGGTATCACTTCTTTCCGGTCCCTTCCGAAGGTTACGCATTCGTAGTAAAAATGGAGGGACCAGATGTAGTTTTTGAAAATAATGCCTAATATTTCTTCTCCTCGAGTAAGCCTGTCGACTATTTGTGTCAAGTCATAAAGAATAATTGAAGATCACGGTTCATCGTGCCTAGAAGGGGTTGCTTAATGGACCGAGTTTATTTCTGGACGGCTTAGGTCACCTGCAATTATCTTGTATTTAGTTTCAATGTTAGATATATCGTCTATTAGATGGTTGAGACCTGTGTCATCAAAACTACATCCTGGAGGGTAGCAGAGGCATCCAACTAGTATTTTTTCGTGGGTCTGAGATTGTTTTGCGGCAAAACACGCTTCCCCATCGAAGTAGTCTGCTGGAACATGAAGATAATTTTGGTAGTTTTGATGTAGATCAGACAACCCCCGCCTCGGTTGCTAACACAGTCCTTCCGATAGAAGTTATAATTGGAACATATGGCGAAGCATTCGATATCATTTCATTTGCCCATGTCTCTGTAATGCAAATTATATCGGGGTTATATATTACAACGAAAGCTCTAAGTTGGAAAATTCTGTGGATTATCGATATCGCATTTATAAGGGCTACACTTAGGATGCTGGATATATAAAAATTGTTGGTTAAAGCCAAGGCGCACAACTCAATTTCAAAGAAAAATTGAAGCTTTGTCTATACTTTGATATTCTTAAGCAATTAATGCCTATTTTTAACTTGAGTCCTTTTTAAATGTCGCTTTTCACGGTCAGCTGTTATTTTTTCCAGTCTTATCAGACAGTCTGGTAAAGTAGCATAAGTCGGGTTTATCCCGCCGTATAAAGGCTGCCTCCAGGTAGCGCAGTAACCTTTAAGGGCGACAACATCTATAATACCATCAAGCGGCGATTGAGATACGCTATTGAAATAACTTACAACTCAGCTGAACTCATCTTCTACAGTCCTACTAAGGCCATCGAAGTTCCACGGGCGAAGGATGTCTTGCCATTGCACGCCACGTCAAATTGTGTTTACGAATTTTTATGCACTTGTGGATGTAAGTACATTGGGCGAACGCAAAGGCAACTGGCAGCCAGAGTAGTTGAGCACCTGCCTAAATGGCTTCTAAAGCAGGGGAATAAGACTCCACGGTCTTCTATTACAAAACAACTCCTTGATAGTGGCCATTCGGTGGACCCCAAAAGTAGCATAGTGTTGTACTGCGAAACATTCCGAGTCAATTATCTGCTATAGAGGGAGCGCATTTGTTCCTGCAAGGTTGTTGTTTGGGTCTCATTGCCGCACAAACTAGACGACTGCGCTCGCTCAGCCGTAAAACGCCGATACTTTTTACACTTTTCTCCTTGATAGGAGTCGACTTTATCTTGTCGAGGAAGAATGTAATTAGAGAATTCTGTCGTAAATTGCGCTGCCCCGTCTGGCCGGACCTCACACCATTGCAGCGAAGACTCAACAAATTGAAATTGTAAAAAATCAACTCCGACATAATGACACCTATTGTCCGTTTGAATAAGTCTTCTTCATCATCATCTGCGGCCTCTGCACGTCACGGCATAGTCAATTCCGTACGGAATTCGACTACCCCTGATGCTAAGGTCTTTGGACGCATCAACACGCCTGGTATAAGCACGCCCCCACCGACTCCACCAGCAAACCCTAACAAGCATATGTATTTGCCGAAGTCAAAGGCGAATTAAATTATCGTCTCAGCCACTCGGACACCTGGTAAATCCAGCCGCATTATGAAATCTTTTCTTCCGCAGTCGCCTAACAATACCTCAAATACAACGGCCCAAAACGTAGCGTGTTTTCAACTACCCCCTAGCCCTCATATCGAGTCGGCTAAGCCGAATATGCCGACATTCCCGCCTTCTAATAGAATCCATGTTCCAGTGGGAGCAGTGCATCCGCCACCCACCCATCGTTTTACCAATGCATTCCTCGTGCTAATGTCTATACTGGGTCATTTAACTCATCCTTTCCTCAGTTGCGTTCCGGTGGGAAAATGTTACAATATTCGGCCAGGGGATTTCCAGCTAAAAATGGACTAGCTAATAATGGTCACCAGTTTCGCTGCCCGTCATTTCCACCCCTAATCCTACTCATTTTTATTCGCGTCAGAATCTTGTCATGCCACAAAAAGTTTTGCAGAATCCGATGGATACATCCGTGGGCAGCCAAGCACTGGACGACGTAGCCCGCCACCCACAGAAACAAACAGCCTTTCTCCTCAAACCTTTTGTTTTAAATGCCAGATCCTTGCTAAATAAGATTCCTTTGCTTCCGACTCCGGTGTTCGTCCATTGCCAAGATGTTGTTTTAGTAACTGAGACATGGGCATCAGCTTCCTTAGCGCATCCCGAACTCTCTATTCTAGGCTATGCTTGCATTCGAAATGATCGTCAAGACAGCCGTTAAGCAAACAATTACATTTCTGCCGCTGGACCTCCCGCATTTTTCCGCAGTAGAAGGCAGCTTCTGGCTGCAGGTTGCATTAAAATATGAGTTCTCCTTACTCGTTGGCTGGGTCTATCGCCCTCCCAACGTCAATGACAATTTTGATCGTTTACTCACACTGGTAGTTCATGCTGCGACCGACTTAAGCCTTAAGTATCAATTGGTTGCGGGTGACTTCAAACTTCCTGAAGTCCGCTCGTCTCCGCCCTTTAGCGCCAGAAGGTTGGAAAACTTACTTGAGACGGTGAATGTTCGCATGATGAGTCAGGTTGTCGATTTTCCCACTTGTTGATCAATAATACTTGATCTAATGTTCTGTGGAGGTTGCATGCCTCTGTCAGTGTCATCCATAGGACCACTCGGGACACCGATCATGACATAGTTGTTCCATCATTAGAACTCGAGGCTGAAAAAGTTTTGTCCTGAAAATATAGCGTCTTGTTCGATTTCCAATCAGTTGCACTGCTAAACTGTACTAAATTTGGGATCCGCATACTTCTCGTTTTTTCTCCGTGAGAAAATAAAAAATGTCGGGGATAAGGTTTTCCTCCCCTTACCCTTTCGCTGTAGGTTTCGCAGACTTTCTCGTCGATTCCATCTTCAGAACGACGTTTTCGTTGTGACCTCAATTTGTGCTATTCTGAGCGGGCTAAGAGATTGTCTGAAAAAAACAGCTAGCCGAAGAAGTCCAATTCACTGAAAACCGTTCGTTAAATGTCTCGAAACTTTCCTCCCGCAAAGTACGAGCCCACAAAAAGACGCAGCATCCCAACCTTCGAGACGCTCTCAGGAATCCTATAGCTGATGCCCACTTAGTCGCTGACAGTTTCAATGCTTTCCTATACAAAAAGTATATTGAAGTCTCGACCACTCCGATTCCGCTTCCGACAATCGAGTCGTTGACCGTGACGGTTCGCGAAACTATGATTTTCACTTTGTGGGATGTGACTGTTGCGATTCGGCGACTTCATCGATCTCATAGCCCTGGACCTGATAGTGTCTCAGTAAGCATTCTAAAAGCGGATGCAAATACAATTTTCCCATCCCTCTTATGAAAGATATTTAATCTCGCTCTTGAAAGTGAAACCCATCCCACTTGGTGGAAGGAATCACACATTTGCTTAGTCCCAAACATGGTCAATCTACGTCATTTGATGACTGTCGGCCAATAAACACCCTCCGTACAGTTTCGAAGATCTTAGAGACATTGATCAAAGAGAAGATGATGTGTCACTTAACAAAGAATAGTATACTGAGCGCCGCTTAGCATGGACTCCTTAAAGCTCGGTCTTGTGACACCTCTCAGCTCTCAATCTTTGATCATATTCTCTAATCCAGGGACAATGATCTTGCACTTTACGCAGTATAATTCGATTTCACTAAGGCTTTTGATCGTGTTGACAATGCTCTTCTTCTGTTAAAATTATCCTTTTTCGGCATATGTTGCAAACTTCTGAATTGTATATCCACTTACCTGGGCGCAGGTACACAACGAGTTAAGATTTCCACTGCTTTCTCCAATGTCACATGTGTGGGGAGTGGAGTCATTCAGGGTAGTTTACTCGGCCGCTTTTATGCTGTCCTTTTGTTAACGATGTACCAGATTTATTTCAGAATGGTGAGCCTTTTATGTATGCCGATTATTTGAAAGTTTCACATATGTACGCGCCGGCAGATCGTTACGTCTTGTTTGAGATCCTAAAGAACGAGCTACATTCCCTTGCCCAGTGTTGCTGCACATGGCGCCTTTCCCTGTCTTGGCATAAGTGCTCAGTCATGGTGGTTGGCGACGACCACCAACCTCAACTAAGAATTGACGATCACGACATAAATGTATCAACCTTTCGGAACACTGCGCCCTGATAGTCTCCAAAGCACGTAGAACGACCGGGTTTATTCTTCGAAACTTTAAAACCAGCGAAATTTAAATGCGCATTTATAACATGTACGTTAGACCTGGCCTGGGATACTGTTCGTTTTTATTTAGCCTCATGGGTGCTGCTGAGCGGAAGAAAATAGAATCCGTTCAACACTTTTTTACCAAGAGAGTTTTAACCACGAACACTGACATTTGTCTCACGAATAACGTTACGGGCTTATAGACCTTCCTCCTCTATGGTTTCGTAGATTACAAAAGGGACCATTTTTACCATTTAAGCTTTAATATAATAGTACCTTTAACTCACTCACTGCTTAAGGACATCATGTCCACCCCCGACGTAACAGTCAACGTGAGGTCTATTTGTTTCTTCCTCTGGCACATACCGTTAAATATCGTGCGTGCTTTCCTGTAAATGCACTTGTTTTTTGAAATATGCTACCCAGGAATGTGAAAATTCTGCAAGATTATCTTTTATGAGAAATAGGGTACTCAAAGGCTTACGCCTATTTCCCTCAATAAACTGAACTGAACTATTACTCGATTTCTGCATTCAGAAAACCCACAAATTTTGGCGCTGAATTCACGGATTGACTATACCGTAGCGACGGCGTTTGTGGTCTCTGATCTCTATGTCCGGTCTCATCAGGGACAATTTCTTTAGCCAACAGTAACAGCTGTTCTTCGGCGATTCGGATCGGACCAGCCCCAACCTCATGAAAAGAATTGGCGACTGATAATATCCAATGCAGTGCCACCCATCCCTTCCTCGACTGTCTTCATTTCATGACCAGCAGATTTTTTCTCCCGAAATCTCCGAATTATACAAAACCACCATCCACTTTATTTAATTATCTGAATTTTTTTCACTTCTGGCCGGATTTGTGCTTAATCTTTTCTTGACGGTGCCCCTAAACTGCAATCAAATGCTATTATTATTCACGCAGAAGAACCACTTCTCCGAAATTTCTCTTCAATATGCTTAAAAAATACTAAAGGAACCGCCACACGAGCCCTCTGTAAGTTATTCTCCATGTTCCGATGAATTAGAAAATTTCACGATCTCGTTACTAGCACGGAAACAAAAAGGCCTTGACCTTGCTTATAAGCAGTCACCCAAAACCAATGGAGTCAAAGTGCAGCAGAAATGGATGATTCCAGTTTAGATTTTTCCTGTGTTCACAGAAGACTGACGTTGTCCAAGATGTGCTTTAATAAACCTACACTATTCTATTCAGTCAGAATTTTTTGATTTCATCGTTTTCTGCCAATTTTTGCTCGATAATCTGTTTTGGAGTCTGGGTGTACGGTGTAATTTTTCAGCTCTACTGTTATAGGATTGTTTTCTTCGAGATACATCACAGTTTACCTTAAAAGTCTGCTTCCACTTTCGCATTGCCCAATTTTACCGATCTGAGTCGCAAATACACACGGAAATTTTTCAAGGAGTCACAGACTTCGGAAGATATGGCTGTCGTTCTGCTAGAATGTGTCTCCGTTCGAGGAAAATCGCAAGTACTGGGAGTCCTCACGCAGGATACAAAAGCAGAGGTTACAGTCAAGGCAGACGTCGGACGATAAACCATCAGAAGCACCAAGTCTTAAAGCTCAGGATTCATAAATGACTAAAAAAGGTTAAACCAGAAGCTTAATAAACAAAAAAGTTGTATACATCACTAGTCCTTTCTTTTACATCCGGTGGTATTTTTACGAATAATAATTATTGCATAAGAATCCCCGGGCCTTCGAATAGTTACGACCTTCCTGTCACTTTGGTCCTTGTGGGCGGAGCCTGCAAACCTGTGTAATAATCGGCAAGGTCCTAAGGAGTTAATACGCGCGGTTTTCTTATTTACAGACACAGTTCGGTAATGTCGTTCGTGGGGAGACGACTCTTCCGCAAAAAAATCACTGACAATCCCAGCATTCCCAAAATAAAGATTTCACAACCTGCAGTCACTCCAGATACCGTATTAGCCCTGTCAAAACCAACTAATGGTAATATTTTTCTCGTTTTTCAATTGCAGGTTATCTTTGCCCGAATTCGGCAAATATATATGGTATAGAGTTTACCCATTTCACCCTGAGAGATATAACTTCTAACAGCATCATTGTTGACATTGCAAAGCCCAGCACAGGTAATAATGTCACTAGTGAACACTGTAAAAAGAACTAGGATCATTTCCAAACGCGAACGGGATCGTGCGGTACAACTTCCCTGCCAGTTTCCTTTCGCTTAAAACGATTGGTGCAACGTTAGTACAATAGTTGTGCTTATTTTTAGTGTCGAGTTTCAGGTCAATGATCAAAAAATCCCAAATCTTCGCATGATTGAAAGGCATTTTTTCAAAGACAGACTTCTTAAGTCGTTTGATTTTAATTTCGGATTCATCATACCTGGCTCAAAAAATACAGTGGAACATATTTACGAATTTCCCGAGCTAAATGCTGCTGATGGTCTGCATTTCGTATTTATACATTGCAATTTGTCTAGTTCAAGAAATGATATACTGCCCTAACGAAACAAGATCAGACAGCTTCTACTTTGTGAACGACACTCTCGTAATGCATAACAAGGCCGAATATTCCTATCGCGAATGAAGCAGGTCTATGAACGACGAACTGTGTTATGCCTTCTCGAATCCAGTTACTGAAAATCCTTCCAATTAATTTATTCATCTTAATCTCCAAGTGGATTCACACCAGTCTACGCGGATCTCAGCATACCAAAACCGGAAGGACTTAAATACAATCGAACATATTTTCAGTATTAATTTTCTCGTCAAGTCCACTCGGACCGTCCAAACTTGTAGGGTACCAAACTTAGAGCATGACAGTTCAAGTGACCCCGACGTCCAAAATTGCCGTCAATTCTTAAAAAAATCAACTAACGTATGTATTTGTTCACTCATTGAGCTCTAAAAGTAATGTTGACTCAGAAAATGAGCTTTGGTCGCCAGCACTTTAAGGATGACCTTTCTGAAAACTTAATCTCCCGAGGAGCAGCGTGTCCTATGTACAACTATAATTCTCCAGCGTTTGGTTTACAAGACTGAACAGCATACTTGGCCTTCCAAATATTGAACGAATAATCAGATTTGTCTTTCCCTTTCTCCGTATTTCATGTTTGCATGTTGTGTTTGTTGCATATGTACAACTGTTGGCTGGGCAAAACTGCTTTAAAATTTGGAATTGAAACTGTTCGTAGCATATTCCACTGACAAACAAAATACTTGTTTGATTGTTTTTTTCGAAAAATAGTAAATAATAAATGCGACAATTTGTTCAACAAAACGACCTTTCTGGGAATGTTTAAAGGGTAGAATTGATGAAGTGGTACCGAAAGAATTACTTATCATTTATTTCATGTTGTACCCTTTTTTTCGGCAACCAGCTCTTAAAAATTTGGTGTACTTTTAGGCGTATTTTATTTGTCGAGCCATATAATAGCAGAAATACGGTTGACGACTAACGGTGGTACAAAATGTCAAACGAGCGTTACAAAACCTGTCCATTAATGGACACTGATCTGAGGCTTTTGGCTTTGTCCCAGCATTGTGCGGTTGCTGGAAGTCAACATGCCTTCTGGCTCCTTACTATTTTCACCTCCGAAAGATAAGTAGATTTCGACGATTTTTACTCCAAATTTTAGAGGCTTTCAGACCGACAGAAGGAATATTATGCTGCACAGTAAACTATGTTACATCATTTGCAGAGTTCTCAACACGTATTTTCCCTAAACCATCAGGAGTCTTAAATGTATTCTGTGGTGCTAAGCGGTGACCCTCTGAAGTTACATGCTAATTAAGGAACGTGATTTGCTTACCAATACTTTTTGGGTCGAAGTAAAAAGGGAGCACAATTTTGTTCAGTGTTGACATATTGTTTAAAGTTTTGCCGTATGTGACAAGGGGTTAGTTTGCTTTATAGCTTATTTCCTTAGCAAGTCGTGACACCTTCTTGTGTTTAGTTTAGACTTCGATGTGTTGCAGTTATATCAACGACTATATGCAGTACAAATTTCCCCTAAGGCATTGGCCTCGCCAAACTATTTCGTCGAAGGGTGATTTATCTATCGTGAACTTTGAAACGTGAAAAATGGGCGAATATTTATCTGATCCTTGGATGTACACAAACTTTAACTCCGTTTATAATTTTAAATGAGGACGCACGCTTTAAAACTTTGTTGGAAGAAGATAAATTAAAACAGGTTTCCTGCTACCATAACGCGGGGTTTGTCCATTCGTGCTTCGGGAAAAGTACGCAATCACCGGGAGTTTAGAAAATAAGTGGTACTTACGTAGATTTTATCTTGTGTAACTAACCAGTGGACAGTTATATAAGTGTGGAAATGCTTTCACAATGCGTGCAGGTACTAAAGAAATGCCAAAAGTATCTGCTGGAATTCTGAATAGCGATGGGGTCTGGGCCAGTCTTGATGACAACTTAAGGAGTTGTTAGCCATTCCAGGACGTAAAAATATGTCTAAAACAGTAGCAGTCTACGTTTTCATGTCGATGGCTGCCGTTTCCATGACTTTTACTGCTGCCTCTGCCTCCTACAACTAAGTTTTCAGAGAGTAGCTTGGTGTGTAATAGCTTCCAAATTTTAGGAATTCTCAACAAAGTTAGAGGAGTTGAAACAATTCTGGAGCTAAAAATACATAGTACGCATGTTCTGGGACATTTACTTGTCATTCGGATTAATCTAACAAAGATACTATAATAAGAAACTACTGTTAGTTCGGTAGGATGGTACTTGTCGATAAACTATGTCAGCCTTGTTATGGACCCATATTAAGCACTTTGCAGTAGTTTCATTTGAGTCCGTTGTCAAGCGCGCTCGAAATCCTTAACGCAATAAAGTTGGGTTTTATTAAATATTTAACGACGCACAAGCCAAAGAAGAGTGACATATACTGACCTGGATGTTTTAAGGAGAAATGGAACCTATAGGTTTTTTTGTCAACTGTGACATTCATATGCGTCAGAAGCCTTGTATGCTTTCGAGCTCTCCGTAAATGAAACATAAGTTAACTGACTTTGTGTAACTTTGAAAATTGGAAATACATGTCAAAAATTTCGTCTTAAAAGGAAAAACATGAATCGTCTTGGACGAAATAGTCCAACCAAGAAATTCCTGGACGAAATGCATTATTGTATTGAGTTAATATAAAGAGCTCCGCTGTGCAAGTTGTTTATTTAAATTTTCTCACTCTATTTCTAAGCGAAGATTATGTAAGTCTTAAGTAAGGGTCTTTAAGGCTACTCGCTCAGAAGACATTTCTGTCCCTTTCAACTCATTCCGAACAATCTTTTTTCAAACCATCCGCATTTTATGCCCAGCCCTATTTTTTGTTTGCGTCCACATCCAAATATTTCTAAAAAAAGAAATTCTATGAGGATTGAACGGGGTAAAGACCTTGTCGGTTTAAATAAACTGGTGCTGCAGCATACAAGTGACGATGCCGCTCAGCATTCTATAGTCACAATAATACGTCTCCGACCTAAGTTCTGTCATCTGTAACCTGGTTGATAGCTATCAATGATAGCAGGCATCAAATCTGTTACTGGCCATGCCTTCTTTTTTCCACATTTCTGGCATAGTTTCCCACTTTTGGCAAGCGTCCTCTTACTCCGACACAGAATCTATAATTTGCCAAAAATGGGTATCCCTGTTGCTATTCTTAACTTCTGTCTTTCGACTTTCTTGAATTTTGTCTGAACTGATGAAATATGCATGATCAGCAGACCAGTTTTGCGTACCAACACTCACGAAGAGTTGACCTAAGATACTAACTATTCATTCAGATAAAAAAGGTCGCAGGCATATGTTTTAAATCTCACGAAAGGGCTAGGTTTAACCTGGTCCCTATGCCTTCAAATTCTCGCCTCTAGTCAATAGATAAGCTCGAATGGAAAACAAAAATCACTATTTGGGCATATTTACTTTCCATTAATTTTCGATCCCAATCTAAATTTCAACCTTTTCACGCATCAGATTACGCAATTTCTTATCTGACTGCGTCTTTGTGAAACTGAGCATTTGAAAGATAAAACTTCTTAAGTATAACACGTATTAATAAGCCCTAATTTTGAAATGTGTGTGCTGTTCACGCCTTTTTAACCACTAGGCCTTCCTCGGGCGTTTTTTAAGAAAAATAATTTCAAAAACCGCTTTGCACCCCTTGAGAAGGTCTAAGTAGCTTTGTCTTCTAATCTCGTTTAGAAGGTCTTCTATGATTTATATGGCAATCCACGAAACTGATGTCAAATGGCTCATAGTATTATGGCGCCCGCTCAAAACACGAACGCGGAAGACATATTTGAATAGAACACTGAACTTCGTTTCAGATGGAAATGTAATTTATTACTTATTTCCCTCAATTGACTATGCTGTCTTAATTTCGATACAAATGTTATTGAAGAACCAGCGATTCGCGTTTTTGTTTACTCGCCGCATTTTCCCAGATGGGTTATCGAAATTACAATTGGTTAGGTTGATTCTAAAAAGTTTATGAAGAGCGTCATGTAGTACCCCATGCCTATACGAACTTCCTGTATAAACATCGCATATAGCGGAAAATTAGTGGTACACGATATCGGACTTTCGCCGTTAGGAAAGTTTTTAAATTAAATGAAGAACATTTGCAATGCGTAAACTCTCAGAACAACACCTGTATAAAATTGCGGTTTGAGTGAAGTAAAAGCTGCTTCGTTTAGGGAAAACAGTCAGAAAATATGGATCAAGCTCAAAGGATTTATGTTAGAATGTTAATTAAGTTCATGTTTTTTCAAACATTTCAGTTCCACAAATATCTGCGCTTGATCTTTTATTCGTCAGTGTTCTGACCCGGGAAAATTACAGAAAACATCTATTCAATTACTTGTTTTTATTTCTCTCTTATATATAGGGTAATATTCATTCGAAACGTCAGTTCATAGTAAACAGGACCCTTACCAAGTCGGAATAAACGCTGTGGAAGACGGCGCCTGACCATCTGGCTGACTATATTCCTTGGAGTCATTCAAATGGGCACGGGGATTTTAAAACATTTCGGAACATCTACAAGATTTTCCAGTTCTGCGGGAGCGACTGATATTAAGGTGCAAGAGGTATTTTAGTAGCACCTTTAAATAAAACAATATCGCCTAATTCTTCTTTGAAAAAAACATCCGTGAAGTGAACGACTAGTCAGATGCACATGTTTCTCTGCCTGCGCTTGGAGTTTGTTAGATCACTGACTGATTTTCCAATACATTTGGCGTCGAGGATTTAAAAAGTAGAGATTTTTTGAAGATATTGCAAAGTCGTTTTTGTAGTTCGACTCTGACCGCGGCCAGAATAGTTCATGTAAAACAAGTTTGTCAGTGACGAACGGATTTGGCCCAAAACATAACAGCCCGAAGTAAATTTTGGTTAAAAATTATTGTTAGGCGATTAAGTCTAAGCTGATGCAACTCTGACTGTGATCTTAATCCATGTAAACGTATTTATAAAGGTAAGTCGGCTATGCTGATGTGGGATGTGCAGTTTTTGGATTCAGTAGGCACGGAATTGTGGGAATGAGTGAGGGTGAGTATGTGCTAAAATGAGGAGTCGATTTTCAGACGAACCATCACGTTCTACTGCTTTGCTTAAGGAAGGCGTTTTGCAACAGCATGATCCTCCACGTACGTTTAAGCTGCAGCAACTAATCTCATTGTCCAAGTAAAAAAAGACGTTTGAAGATGAAGGTGAACGGTACCACTAATGTTGCTCTGACACTGTTTATTTAAACAAGCTAAAAGTAGACAATAACTTTGAGGGTTAGATGTTCTAGCACAAATTTTCTTTAAGAAAGGGCAGGGTCGAATTAGGCCTGACGATTAATAGTACAAGGACCGAACGCATTGCTCTCTCAGTGCAAACACTTACTCAATAACGTCAAATGTCCGTTTAAAATGAATTATGAACATCGTGCATCGCCTGAAATCATACCCTCGACTTATTTTTCCAGAGAAATTCGGCCATATTTTCGTACCCCATCACCAGCTGGAGCAGACAGAGACTTTTCGGTGGACATGGGGAACGGCTAGCGAATAGACCTTTATGAGCACACTTCGCGACTTTTAAACATTTCATTGTCAAACCCTTATGCGAAACTTGACATTTTATTGGTAATTTCGAGATAAACCTGAAGACCATGACCGACATTTTTTTATTATATCATGACCATCAATCGTCTTAACAGTCACAATTTACATGTGTTGATATAATGCCTAAGCCTAAAACCTCCGGACGTAACTGTCTACGTTTACTCGCGAGCTCTACCCAGCATGCACATTTTATGAATTTTAAGCCAACATACCGGGATTCAAACCACTTGTTTTCATTGTGCAGGGCAATGTACGTCCTAGAGTGTGAATTCAAGGTCATGGATGACAGTAAATACTTGCATTCAGATATTTAACAACTAAGCAGTCTATTGACATATCCGCACTCTTGCTTTTGGGACACGACGTTCACAGCGAAGGGTAGCTGTATCGCGGTAAAATCATCGTATTTACACTTAAAATGTTGATCCTCTTTTTGCGCTTTCCAGTTGACTCAAATAAAAGAATTGATCATGGGTCCCCAGGAAAATACAATGATGATGATGGTGGTGGTGGTGGTGGTGGTGGCGGTGATGATTATGATGATGATGATGGTGGCGATGATGATGATGATGGTGGTGGTGGTGGTGATGATGATGATGATGATGATGATGATGATGATGATGATGATGATGATGATGATGATGATGATGATGATGATGATGATGATGATGATGATGATGATGATGATGATGATGATGATGATGATGATGATGATGATGATGATGATGATGATGATGATGATGATAGAAACCCATCAAATATTTGACTTTGCTTGAGCACAACACAACTGCCGAGACTTTCATGAGCACTAGCAGTCACTAGTGACCGGAGTTGGATATGTGCTCTGAAGCGGCCACCATCGGCAATAAATCACTGACTGGCTAGTTTGATATGCTTCGGGCAATGGTTGTCTTTCCTATTTTTCATTATTTGATGATGACTGCATCTTCGCATAAAATTTCACGTTCAAATACTTGCTTTCTCTCTGTGATTAAGATTAATAATTCTGAGTCGGTTATTGTAATGTGACCTCCATGTCCTTTGTTCTTATGTTAACGAAGTTGACAATTGTGCGAGGGTATCATGCGCGTCCTGAATTAACATTATGAATTTTCCTCTACAACTGAATTAAATTTTTTCCGGGACAGGGTTGGCTTTTCAATCCATGTTTGTGATCTCCGTGTCAGGCTAATACACTTACAGCAGCAAGTTAACGAAAGTTAGTTATACATCAGTATGAAGTTTTCTTCATGCTTTACGATAAATTGCCGACGCCGCTGGACGCAAAGGTTCAGTCGACCGAGAGTTTACATGACCAACTGATAAGGAATTTATACAAGGTTCTGTCATGAATTTAGCGCAGGTAACCTTTCTATTTCACGAATCCATTGATGCATCCCTCGAAACCGTCTTTGCGATTGTCAAGGTACCTTGTGATCCTGGGTTTCCTTCAAGCTGCTAAACATGAAATGCCGTCAACAGTCTCATATTATCAGAATTTTAGAAGTTCTCCTGAACTTTGGTAGCAACCGAATAGCACAGAAACTGATGCCTCGTGGAAAGAGAAGAAGAAGAAGAAGAAGAAGAAGAAGAAGAAGAAGAAGAAGAAGAAGAACGAAAAAAGCTTGGTCATTGCGGCAAGAATTTTGTCTGCCTGAGGTTTCTGGTTCAAACTAGAACCCATTATCAGAAAAAGCGACAGGTAAGGGTAGTGGCGACGCAAAAGATGTAGTATTTATGCAGTTCGGCCGCTATGCGACTATCAAAGGGCGCAGTCCTCTCATGCATCTCAGACGGTTGAGCTAAATTACGATAAAGGAATAATACCCGCGTCCTAGCCGTTAACTGGTGCTTTTCAACACTAGGATTGGCTACTGACATGACAATTAGCCAGTAGTTTGGCCCATCGGTAGCGTCACTGGAAGCAACGTCAGTTTGGGCGCTCCCCGCCTGGCTAATTACGCTGCCCGGCACTCTCGCAGTTGGATATGGAGGGGAAGTTCGCTGTTTGACGCATTAAGGGAAATTGAGGTCGACAAGGACCCCATTATCGTGCCCGCGGACAAAGAGCCTGTCATCATCACACAGGACAGGGCAGACTCCTCTCAGAAGGTGAGGAGCTTACTAGAGGGTTGTCAGTTCTATGTTCCATGTAAACTAAACTCGCAAAAACGCCGACAAGCAAAAGTACTGCAATGCTGTGGGTAGTGGAGAAACCAGGTGCTGATTAAGAATCAGCTTTGTCCTGACTCCATAGTCTCCCCATTGTGCGCTATGCAGACACTCCCTCCTGCCCATTGTATCGTTCTACTTTTACGTCACGATTTTCAAACTGCTGATTCCGATCTTGCGGTCTGTTTGTCCTCACAGTTCCTGAAGATACTTGTAGCGTTCTGTCTTCTGCCAAACAAGCCATGATATAATTTACTTTCATGTCCCCTTTCATTCGTTTTCCCAGGATCTACAGTCGAGTCCATCAAATTACTCATGAAAATGAAATATTATGTGACAGGAAATCGTTCCTGTCACACCTAGATCACCGAAATACTGAAGTTAGGTCTCGAACGCTACTTCGTATCCAAGGGGAGAATTTGCGAGTCAGCCAAAGGCCAATGAGATCACTGACTCCCGAGGTAATATCCGAGGCAGTTCTGCAACGGTTGGAGTCGCTGGCTTTGTAATGCACCAGACCAACTGCCTAAGGTCGAATGTGAATGACAACGTTGTCGTCCCGTCGACCGCCTTTCCACATTACTCGGATCTCGGAGTACACAAGAAAGGAGGCAGCCTTCAGGTGGCAGATAATGAGGTCGATAGATCCGCTGCCAGGGTAAGAAATGTCCGGAGGCGTCGACCGTACCTGGTGTCATTGCAGGCAAAACAACTGCATCAAAGAAACTGGCATGACTACTATAAACGCAGATTGCCGAACTTTCATCACCATTAAGGGGAAGTTACGCCAAATCTAAGAGGCCTGGTCACACCTTCATGCTTGACGAGACCGAAATCCTCGAGAGAGGTGACCAGTGCGTGAGTCGCGAACTCCTTGTATCACCTTTCTTCAGCTCGCGGTCTATAAATAAGCATAATGACCTCTCTTCATAGTCAGCGTTGAGAGTGCCAGACAACATATTTAGTTAAGCGGGGAGCACCCGAGACGAAGGCTGCTTCCAGTGACCGTGTAGGTGGGCCAAACCGCCAACTAATTAACACGCCAGTAGTCAACTCTGGTGATGAGAGCGCGGCAATTAACGGCTCGGATGCCAGAGGTTAATCCCTTAGCGTAACCAAGTTCGACTGTCTGTGGTGCATGCGTGAACTGCTCATTATTGTAGTGATCTAGTGAATACATCCTAAAATACAACATTTTTTGTGCCATCACTATCTTTATCTGCCTAGTCGGAACGTCGGCGGACGAAATTCCTGTTCCATCGCTCAAATTTTCTTCTTTCTAGCTATTTTATGAAAACTGACTTTCCGCTTTTGCCAACAACTGATTTTTTGTGAATCGTCTGGTGAGTTTTCTTAGGACGTTTTAGGGTAATATTTTGGGATTCGGTACTGGATTTTACGCAAATACTCTTTTTGTTCTTATGTTATCGTAGTGTTTTCTTCGAGATATTTTCACGCAAACATTTCCTGAGGTTGAATTTGTCCTTGGAGTGTTTTTTTAATTGCCACTTGTCTCCTAGGACTCTGTTAACTCGTGTTGATCCAACTATAAAAAAACTTGGCGCATCGGTGGGATTAGAACCCACGCAGTAAGGAGAAGGCTTAAGTACAGCCAGCGCGATAACCACCTGAGCTACGAGGCCCCGCCGGACAACGCGAGTTTAATCCCATTTGGGTCAAGTTACCTGCCCAACCTACTGCAACGTCTGGAATCCACCAAATCTGATACAGTAAGCTGACTGCGCAGGCAGGATTTCCTAATTAATTCACCTACAATACACCAGATGACTACCAGGCTCATGTAATTCGTAGATGTTTTGGCAGCTTTTGAATAATTCATATTGTTACCTCCCTGACCGTCATGGACACCAATAGGTCATTTAATGCTATAAATTGGGAAAGAGTTCGAAAATGAAATTTTTCCAGGATTCAATACTAGTAAACAAAGGTCGTTATTTATGAATTGCTTTCCTTTTCGTCTTGCTTCTGTCGAAATTTACACCAGTTGTTGTTTGCTTTATCTGGTTCGAAACCTCACTTAAGCCTGATTTCAGTACGATTTAGAATATGACATTTGCGGAGTTGTAAGCATAATTTCTCTCTATTCTGATATGCCACTGCCTGTTCCCTTGCAACTTGTAGGAGTGTCGTTAAAAGTGCATCTCTTGATGTTCGGCATGGACGGGCAACTTTCAGGAACATCTTTTGATTACAGCGGCCCACAGGCAACTTACGTTTTCAGAATTATTTTGCATTAATTAATGACAGCGTAAAATACTGCAGTCGACAAAATTTTTCCATTTACCGCAGAGTTATCGTCTCTGTTTATCCCAGAGTTTTTGCAGATACTAAGAATTGTTAACAAAAAGAACAAAACGGGCACTTAGATATCCATCAAATAGTTGTGCTCAATTTAACCTCTATTCAACTGCGAAAAGCGCGTGTGGGTAAAGTCCCGTTTCTTCGAAAGGCTCACAGTAATAGTAATCAGGTACAAGATTCCCATACGTGTGTTTCATGATCCATGCCATGTGAGCATTACCTATGGCTGGAAAGCATGTAATGCTTGGCGCTTCAGAATCATGTGGCACGTCTTCGAGAACACAAATATGCATCGGGTAGTCCAGGATGGAAATGAACAGTTATTGGAATAACGTTCAAAATAAGGAAAAGTTTCCAAGCGAACTGTCGTCCCACAAGCGTTCCTGGTTACTGTGCATGATTAACTACAGGTCTGAGCCAAAAGATGTTATGCTTAGGTATTATGAAATAGTCGGTGACTTATCGAAAGAGACATTTTTGAAACATCGTGGGAACGCGATGTTGAGAGGTCGTTCGTCTTGCGCATTATGAAAGAGTTATTCAGTTTCAGCCACTCAGCGGTGGCTAAAAACCACCCTGGCGTTCGAATGACATTTTTGGGGCACCTATGCTGTGCACTTTCTTAATCTTTTTAGGTATTTGATCAAAAAATCATCACTCATTGTAAAATGGTAAGTTTAAGACTGTGAAGATTGGATAAGCTACTGGGTTCTGTCCTCGCGGCTTAGATGCCCAGTGGCTCCCCGTGTTTCTTTACCTTATCGATATGCCTCAATGTTTCTCATTTACGAAGGTTCTGCTGACTGGTTATGTGGTGCACCCCTTGCTCACTGAACTATTTATCCAAAAATTTTGAAGTTCCACTTAAAATGTCTCTAATATGAACAGCAAGCACTTGCATATAAAAGATCTGCATAGCTTGCATTATATTACTTTGATATTGATATGGGCTTTATGAATTTGTGTCTCCTCCCCCATTGCTGAACGTGTAAGCAGAGAGGCCGTGTGTCTCTCATGTGGTTAGTCGTATGGCTGCGCTAGTATTGCCAAAACACTTGACTGTTTTCCCTGTTTTCTCACGTACCTGCTTATGTTAGTCCTGTCTACTGAAAAACAATTTTAGTAACTGTCGAACCTACTGTTTTGAGGTCTTGTTCTCCAAACCTTTAAGAAGGGCATTCTTGTCTAAATAAATGGTGTGAGTGCTACCTAGCCAAAAATAAATATCTGGCTGGACGCATATGTGTGCAATCCTGTGGGCTGCCTTTTATG